AGACTAATGCAGAGTGTGTTAGTTTTCCTTCTGAATGCATTGAGCGTCTAAAACGAGACTTGTCTTCATGTGACAGCTCTAATATTGAGGTTATTTTTCCCTTTGGGAAATGTTAAAATAAGAGGACACAGGTTGGAAGTGGCATGTTGAGAATAATAGCAGGACAAGGACGACGTACAGTCAGAAATCCTCGGGGTCTTGAGCCTTTACACCGAAATGTTTGGCTATCGCGAGGGCCAGTGTACTACAGTTACATGTGGAGATGATACCGTTTCATTATCTTTATCTGTCTTCGACTTCAGAATTCATACTAACTTCAAAACTCATTTGTCCTTTTATCTAAGTTAGACATCGAGTTTGATCTTTCCAAGGAAATCCTTTGTTCACATCGCAGGAATTCACGCTGACAACAAAAAATCATTTGTCCTTTTGCTTTAAGATAAATGTGAGTTTGGTCTTTCCGAGGAAAACCTTCGTTCCTGCTACTGGAATTCACACAGACAATTAAATCACTTGTCCTTTAAATCTGTTGGTAGATAAAGAAGGATTCAACTCTCATTTCTCTGTGTTACTGGTTGACAGTTGTGTTCGTTCACTGGCATCTGTTTTGCACAACCTCTGGAAAAGGGGAGAGATACAAAATATATGTACTAGAATTAGTTGTTGTTTTAGTTAGTGTGTTATAAGATTAATGAATGTTACTTCATTTAATTACATATTTCTTTGTAATGATCCAAATACCGAAGCTGCTGGGTTAGATTTGTTTCCAGGATTTATTCCAGGATCTAGATTATTGTAGTGAGGTGTTATAATTAGATTGATTAAACAATTGTTCATTATCAAAAATTTTACTTTGTTTCTTTTCCTCATGTTTCACATTAAGCCACATCTTCATGTTTAACATCAATACATGTCCTAATGTTTTATATTGAGACACATACTAACTTTTACATACAGACACATCTTCATGCTGCACATTAAGACATATCCTCATGATTCACATTAAGTTAAATCCTGATGGTTTTTTCCATACAGACACATACTCATTTTTCACATCAAGACACATCCTTATGTTTCACTTAAAGACACATCTTCATGTTTCACATTAAGGCACATCCTAAAATTTTACATTAAGACACTTCCACATGTTAAACATTAAGATACTTCCACATGTTTCACATTAAGACACATCCACATGTTATACATTAAGACACTTTCACATGTTTCACATTAAGACACTTCCACATGTTTCACATTAAGACACTTCCACATGTTTCACATTAAGACACCAATTTTTTGCACTAACATCCACCACATATTTTAACCTCTCAGTTCCTTGTTGTGTTTGATTCAGTTTAGTAAAATTGGTGATCAGCATTGCCTGTCTGCTATCTTGGATTGTAATTCAGTATGGATCTTTCATGTAAAGTTTGTTTTTTGCTGGGTTTTTTTTAGAAATAATATTAAAAGAATCATGATATGACTTGGCATGCATGTATATAGCTCTCACTGTCCCTACATCTTTATGTCTAAAAACTGAAATGAATTGAAATATTAAGAATGGCTGGAACAAAGTCTTGGTTCAAAAAACAAATTGACCTTTTAATTTTGAGAAGAGATGGAATATCCTGTTCGGAAGGTGACTATGAAAGTCTGGAGTCGAAATAAGTGTTACATACACCTTATCAACCATCAAATCTGAAGATCAATCTCCATCCACAGTTTGAAAGTATTAAAAAATTGGAAGTGGTTGGTCATGTTACTTTAATTCAGTGTTGTCTTTACTTTACAGCCTTTTTACAATCTATGTACTTTAATCAGCTCTGTTTAAGAATAAAACACTTAAGGTGAAAAAGAATGTTTCATCCTTTTCTATAAGTGTTGTCCAAACCATTCAAAATTAATTGTTTGATACCTTCATTAGTATATTTAACATATGATAGGACATGTGTGGCTAACGCCTACATATTGTACACATTACTGATAGATATAGCATTACTTAGCTTGAGTATCGCACCTCTTTGTCTACAATGTAGTCTGAGCCAAACAGTCTGACAGTAACTCCCTATCCAAACCAAAATCCATAATTCTGTTCAGTAACAGTTTTAAATTCTGATAACATTTCATGATAAACTATTACTTTCTGCGACAGAAGATTGATGATGCGGACTGCGGCAGTTAATTATTGATCAAACATAACATCCCCATTAACGTCGCAAAGCTGACCTACAAAAACTTAAATCACAATAAAACTTTCAAATTGATTTTAATCTCATAGCTTTTATAATGTCTCTTTGTTTGTTCTTGTTTTCAAAGGAATGTCTTTCAAAAAACCAAATCTTTATCTTTAAACAAAGATAACATTTTACAATACTTTCAAAAATTGTAATTTGTAAAAATAATTAGGAATATAATTTCCTGCATAAGGAAAACCTTAGTTATCCTGCTGTAAGCCCAAGGCCCGGCATATCAACTCTGATGCAAGGTATGGTTATTGGCTCATTACGGGGTTGGTAGCTTGTGTGGGTCTTTCTACTGAAACTCGTGATACATGTGGTTGGTCAGACATATCACGAGACAGGTCAAGGCTCATTGCTAGACACGTTAATGGTAAAATTCATTTAATGTCCGCTAATTTGTTTGTGATGTTAAGTAAACCAGATATAATGTAAGATTAGAGTAATATCAACAATCCAACGGACAAGGTGAAATATCAGCAATATGTATTTGGTGTGAAGTTTGTTTTTCCACATGGGAAAGTGTTCCTCCTAGTATAGATAAGATTATTGCTTATAGAACAGTTAAATACTGAAGTTGATTTGACAAAGCTGAGAAGTACCATATACAAACATGTCTTAACCATTAGTGATCTCTAAAAATTATGGAACATAAATCTATCACTTTATGCATTGCTAAATTTATTCGAATTTAGAGCCAAAAGTAAACTATAACAGACCAGTGACCTGTGTTATAGCTTCAAAACTGACCAGTGACTTGACTTCCACTTGACAGTACTGACTGGTGACCTGATTTAGGGAAGCACAGTACTGACCAATGACTCAAATTAAAGCTACAGTTACTGACCTTGATCAACGTGAGTTAAAGTAACATTTTTGACTAGTAACTTGAATTAGAGCCACAGTGCTGACCAGTGACCCAGCAGTTGGAGCTACAGCACTGACCAGTGACCCAGCAGTTGGAGCTACAGCACTGACCAGTGACCCAGCAGTTGGAGCTACAGTACTGACCAGTGACCCAGCAGTTGGAGCTACAGTACTGACCAGTGACCAAGCAGTTTGAGCTACAGTACTGACCAGTGACCAAGCAGTTTGAGCTACAGTACTGACCAGTGACCTGAGTTATAGCAACAGTGCTGATTCAAGTGATCACATCAAGTTTGAGCTACATTTTCGACCTGTGGCATGTAGCCTGATATGTGTCCACATTTAATGTCCAAATCATCGGACATTTTAGAAATGTATTATTAATGGAATTTAGGTGATTTGATAAAACACTGAGATCTTCCCTGATGGCTTGATGCACGATCAGCCATCATTCAAGCAGACGTTGATCAAATCTGACTGATTATAGAGACAAGAATGAGCCTGACCTGACGTGGCGTCTGTACAACCTGATTGCCACCGAGGGAGAATCTCATCGTGAGGTTGGAGGGTATGACCCACCGATTATCATAACATACAGTAGTCCCCTTGTGTATATAATAGGTGCTTCATGGACAGAATACATAAAATCTACCTACTAACAGGCTGTCAGTCAGATTAACAAGAAAACTGACCACAGTCCATGTAATACTGGTAAAGGAATTTTGACAAGACAAAGTAAACTCTTTATTATCAGAGTTAGAGACATTATGAGCCTGATACGTGTACAGAATAGATATTATAAGTATACATTCAGTAATGTTTAGGAGACTACGAAACCACAGGCATATTAATTTACTTGATCGTTATTAGTTTGGTGACCTTGACCTCAATAGTGCCTGACCAGAATCAGCAATGCGTGATTATAGTAATACTCTAAATTAAGTTTATCTCTTCAGAGAAAGCTGTCTTCTCTATTTCATTACTGATCACTCTTTCTATTTCCTGTATTTTGTTGTTTTGGTTTTAGACTGTTTCAGTTCTTGTGTGGAAAATTTCCTCTACATTATATATATTGCTTTATTTCATTGATTGATCATTATAAATCTATTTGTCTGTTAGCCACACAAGTCCAGAAATAATTACTGAGAACTTTATCTAATAACATACTCATCAAAGAATAAGGACCATGATCACAGCCTGTTCCTTTTTCTGTCAATCATTTAAGTGTACTGAATCCTTTGGAGATAAATATGATGAAAACATTTATAAGAGTTGCTTTTATTTGATAATGAAGGCTTTTCAGATTCTTTCTATTCATCAAGATTATTCTACATGTACTTATAAATGGCTAGGAATTGTGGAGAATTTAAGAAAGAATGAGTTCACTTAAGCTATGGCACAATATCTGCGTTAGATATAGGTACTTTATTGTATATGTGTTGTAGACGTGGTTTTCACCAGATATTCAGAAGCATTTCACAAGCCACTGTTGTTACTATGTTATTTCAGGAAAAAAAAGACCTATAAAGGAATCAGTCAAGCGATAAATAAGTAAAACCACCATTTTTATGCATGGTCTGTTATACATGTAGTAATATGCATATAGTCATTTACTGTGAAGTTGTTTCGTTCTTGTAGTTTAATAAGATTGATATACGAAAGACTGATCAGGAAAATTATATTAGATTTTCATTGAAGTGTCTGAAAAAGGAGTCCATCATTGCTCAAGTAGTAAATACTTTCAAAGGTATTCTTTATTTCCTCAGTGAAAATTGTGTTTCAGCTAGACCGTCGTGCATATGAATGAGAGATTTGGTGGCATAATATTGATTATAGAAATATATTTTAATGATAATTCAAGCTTACCAATAATTGTACATCCTTGTTCCTTTACAGATCCTAGTTCTGGTCCTGTCACTCCTGGATCACTGTCTGGCCTTCGTGAGATGACCTTTACTTTCTCTAATGAGCGGGTTGGCATAGTAACAGGATCAGATGGGTTGCCTCCCTTGCCTTCACAGCGCCCTAGGAGGGCCTCCATGCAGGATGCTATTGACCTGCGCAAAATTGACACCAAGCTTTATGACAGAAAGGTTTGTACTTTAGATGACACGTGTTATTTTCTGTTGTTGTTACATGTACAGGTGTTGTATCTGTTATTGTGACAGTTGTCAATACTGTCAAAACTTGTTACCTTAAAATTTAGGTGGAAAATATTTTTATTTTCTCCCTCTGTTGTGTAGTCATCCAAATAACAAAACATGTAATAACACCAATGAACTACATTTGTACTCACTTCATTCTGTGTATAGTCCCCTTACTGACAAAGCACATATAGACCATATATTTTTTATGGAATTACAATAAAATGAAATAAGAATTTGCTTTGGCTACCCTACAAGAAACAGTGTATGAAGCTGCAGAACATATGACTTAGCTATGAATGAGTAAACGTATGAAAAAGGCAGTACTGGGAAGTTTTTATCTGCTATAGAAAACATTGTACAAGCACTAAACTTAACAAATCACACACAGATATAGACTCTATCAATGAAACATATTTTATGCACTGCATTAAATCTAGCAAAGTACCCGGTCACAGTCATTCAGTAAACAAGTTACTGTCAGAATTGTAGGGATCAGATTTCGTCCAAAAGTTTGTACTTGTTTGATGGTCTCGTTTGTATCGTTTGTATCGTTTATAAAGATGTATGCAACCAGGCTAACTATATTTATGTCTTGTGTAAGCGGGCTGCTTATAAAACATACAGTTAAGTCACTCCTACAGAATGGTGACACTAATTAAGAAGCCAACTTTTAATTGGATAATTAAACTGGTAATTAATTATCAACGGCCAAGTGTTGTGTATATGATGGAATGTAATGCCGTAACTAGCCATGTGTTATGCACAGGTGACTTTCTATTCTGTGTATATATTGACAAATTTCTTCAAAAGAAGTGCCAATGTTTTGGCAAAAATTATTTTCGAGACAATGAATGACTTTTCCCTTGCTTTATGATTGAAGGAACTGGAAAATAATTTTGACTCAAACAGAAACTTAAGTGACTTCAAGAGAATGAGTTTCAGCTGTACTTGTTGTCATGATGGGCAGGTGTTATACGATATCTTTATACAGGGCAAACTGTCACCACAATAGAACTTTCATTAGTTTTGCTTTTTAAACCATAAAGTGAATATAACAGGTGGCCTAGTAAAATATTTACAGGTACGAAACTGATAAACAAGCTTGTTATTTGTTATTATAAGGCTAATTTAATATTGTTATGCAAGAGTGAAAACATGTCCTGTGTAAATGTTTCCTTCTATACCATATCAGGAACTGTCTAAAAATTGGTTTTAGTATACATGATGAGATTCGAGATGGCTCATGTACCCAATCTGAACTGAAATACATGTCTTTAACTAATGGTGCTTTGTTACATTATGTTTGGCTTGTTGGCTATTGCCATCATGCATTGTCCATCATCATGTACCGTTTGCTGAGCATAAACTTATTGAAAATGGATGGGGATGTTATGTAAGGGAAGACAACAAAGTGTTGTTGTTTTTCAGCCTTGCAAAAAATGCAATTTTAGCAGCCATGGTGGCCATTTTGTAGCTTGTTTACTCTATCATGGTTTCCCTAAAGAACACCTGTTTTAATCTTCTGATGACATTTAAACAGAGAGATTGGACTAAATCTTGCTTGAAATTATTTGGAAATACTTCTGACCAAGGGTTAATGTTATTAATCCAATAATTAATCCAGGATGGCTGTCATGCACGTCATCTAGAAAAACACATGTTTAAATTTCTTCTCATTGGCGCCATTCAGCTGAAAATTGGTGTTGTTAAGGGAGAGAAGCCATCAAAGTGCTGTTATTTTTTGGCCTTGTTGAATGTTCATTATGGCTGATACACTTCTTCCGAAGTTCCAACAGACAGACTGAGCTGAAACTTGCCTGAAATGGACCTGAGATTATCCTGACCAAGTGTTGTTATTTCAGAATGATTCAAAATGCAGTATGGCTGCTATCTTGAAAAACACATTTTAAATATCTTAAGTTCATCTCATGCCATTGACCTGAAAGTTTGTGGGAATGTTAAGAAACTGAAAGTCTGGATTTTGTTTTTACTTTATTGTTAAATATTGTGAATCTGAACTGTTTAATTGTTTAATTACTTATCTTAATTACCACTGCTGTGATATCATATATAAGTCTTTATAAAAGTCAGAAAACCATTAAGGCACATACATGGGCTTCTTGTTTGAATTTTGTACTTCGTCATAAACATCTTTTGACTACTTCAACGTTTTGTGTTAAGATGGCTTTATCTGTGCCAAACAATTCTGCCTGTATAGTATTAAGTGAATGCTGGAATGCAGAAGGTTTAGGTAAGTTGACATTGTTGCGTGCAGTAGAAAAACCTGGACAATCAAAGTTTTTTTTTTGATGAGAGAAGTGGTCGCATGTGTGTACATTGCTTCTTGAAAGAAGACGGAAGTTCTTTAGCTCATATTTAGACGTCAAGAAAAGTTAGTGTTGGCTTTGTCGACCTGTCTGCACAGCAGTAATCTAATTTATTTGTATGTGGTGGGTTGGCGACACGATGGAAGCCACTCCAGTATCAACACCACATCATTAGACTCCCAATGTCGTTCCACTTCTGAGTGATTTTAAGGTAATAAAATCTATTCTTAACGCTGAAAATCAAGTTACATGTTGCCTGTGTTGGGAAGAAGGCCTTGTCACCCATCATTTAGTGTCTATATATGGGAGAGATATTATTTTTCACCATTAGCTTTCTGTTTTAGTGATGAACAGGTCTTTTTGACGCTAACAACTGAGCTTATATACACTGAGCTGAGGATATAATGCCAACAATCAAAAATAATTTGATATCTTTGTCACATTTCAACTTCGGTTCCAGTTAATTAAATAATATATTTCACAAAGATAGTTCAATTAAAATTTAACAAATTGCATGTGGTTTTAGAGAAACAGGAGTGATATGATACTACAGCTTGTCAATGTTTCATTTAGCCACTGTAGCTACAGAAATTTTACATATACAATCAATAATTTGTGAAAGAATACTTCAGATACACCACTGAAGCACATCTTCAGTGTTATCAATTACATTTCTCCTGCTCAATGAGAATTCCTTGTCTTATTCTTGGGTTGAAACATGTTGGTTTCTCTTGCAGGGGTAATCCAGGATTATGCCAAGGGACCCTACCAACCTCTGATTTTTTTTTATTTTAATTTTACGTATGAACTTGTAATGACCTACCTTATTTTGACATTGACTTAAAATGACTGGAAAAGGATTACTGTCAGCACCTTGCATAATGTCGCTATACATTTAAAACATATATGTCAGAACATCAATTCAATAACATCACATGAGAAATTGAATTAGGTATGTCACGTCAACAATACAAATCATTATTAGAAAATGATAACAATATACTTACAAAAAGAAGCATAACAATGAAAGAAATTATCATTCAGTCCTATCTCAACCCATAGGGAAAGATTAATAAGTTGCTAAACACTCAAAATCTCACGTTTCTCACTTTCGAAATCCTGTAATGCTGAGATTTCCTTCCTCACCCCAGGGGATGAACAATTCTATTAATAAGCAGCAGGCAGTGGTGTCTGATAATTCACAGGGTAGAGGGGTTTTCCATTTCACTCCATTTGTAGAACAGCATGCCTGTTCACCAAAATTGATGTAGTGAAGTCTACACCCGATCAAAATTTCTGTAGAGAGTGTTTCTTGGATGACGTATTGTATAGAATTTTGAATAAAAAAAAAAGTGCTATATAATTTAAAGTCAATTAAAAAAGTTAGAACCATAAGTCTTCATGTTTGCCTTGTCACTGTTTTAAGTTGGTATCTAAACTACATAAAGAACATCCTCAGGTTCAAGAGACTTGCTGACATGATCTGTACTCTGGACTACAAGGCTTATCAAACAAAAGTTATCCATGGTTCTGAAATAAGCCACTCCCAGACTTGAATCAGGCAATTGTGCTGACACTCTCTGCCTTTTGTGCATCTAGCAGGATAAATATGGTGCTTGGCCATCAGGATGACAGATCTAGATGTCAGATATGTTGAAATTTCCCAGAAATATTTTATCAGTCAAGTAATCTTTTATAAATGTAATCTGCTTTTGATGCTATGATGTTTGATAATAATGATACCAAATAGAACCTTGACCAACATTCCAAGTTACTTTCTTGTGTGAATACTATATTTATTTGGATGAACGTCATACATCCACTTTCAAAAATCGTTAAACGTAAATAGGAATATTCTTGTGAAATCTCTGTTGTTATATAACTTTGCAACAAGGATATAATTAATTTGTCTACATAAATCCTCAGGGCTGTTCCAGACTGCCTCATAGCTGTTATGAATAATAATATCATAGCAGAGCTTTCATAGACGTTCAAAGCTCCCTGTGTCACAAGATAATAATGGAACATGAGATGTAATTTCCTGAGGTACATAATATCCATGCTTTTAATGAATATTGTGATGGTTATACTCAATTGAATTAAGCTTCTCAGAACAACATCTGATTTTCAGTTCAGTATAGCTTGTGATAAAGCTATTGAAAAAAGTTATCAAAACAGAGGGGGAAAAATATCACTTGTAAATCAAAAAGATTGGAGAGATGAACCAGTTTAGATGGCCATAAAAGTAACGCCAGGCCAAATGGTGCAGAGAAGTGTTAAGTGTATTCCAGGGTTATTTTAAAAGTGAGGGGATGACTTTGTGACAATCTTATGAATGTCATGAAAATTTAATTTCATTTTCATTTCAATGTACATCTTCAAAGCTGAAAATCAGAGAATTTGCCATTCTGTGTATTATCAGGTAGAGGCCATTTATTGGGAATATGTATTGCATCAATTTGTGTGGTCATCCAGCTGTCCTGAAGAGTCCGAGGACCATAGAGCTAATGGTCAGTATCATATGATCACAAGAGCATAATTGGTATGACAGGGAGCAAAATTAATGGACAAAGGTTAGAGTTGTATCCATAAGGAATTTCAGTGAGTTTGGTAAGTGGA